GGAATAGGGTCCCAAAAGCCAGCCAAACACGTACAACTTATTTTGATCATATTCTTTCCCTCTCCTAAATCCTCTCAAATCCTCCCCCACCCAACTTCATGCAAACTCTCTCTCTCTCCTTCTATCCCTCTCATAAAAAAAAACAAACATAAAACAAAAAACAATGGTCAAAACAAATTAACAAAAATCATTAAGACAAAAATATCAAAGCAAAACAAAAATGTACACACAAAAACCAACAATAAGCAAGCAAACAAACAATAACAACAAAAACATGGAGTCTATTTATATTAAAAGCTACTCCTGGGTATGGAGTAGCTTCCTGGAGTGTGGTAGATATGCCCTACTGTACTGACATTCCATTGGAGAAAACTGATTTTCCCTTTTCCAGCATGTATCAGTTGCAAATAGCTTCTTGGTTAGGGGTGGGACTTCTACCTCTCTGTGCTAGAATTTTGTATGGTTTAAATTTGTGCAGGTCTTGTGTGTACTGTCACAGCCCTAAATGGGATGTCTTTATCAAATCCCAGTCCTCAGAGCTCAAGGATCTGTGCAGAAAAGGAGTCAGAAAGATTGTAAAATCTAGAGGTGATGAACAGCTCCAAGGATACAGTGTCATCCAGACACAACAAGACTGATATACATAAATGAAGTTCTTGCAGTCTCAACCTTTGCTTCCTTGTTCTCACTCCTATGGGATGGAAAGTCACTGCCTGCCCATTCCTAGAGAACCCAGTAAGGGAGCAGAACTGTGCCTTTCCCCTGGCCCAGAACAATCCTCCTACAGAGCATAACCAACAGAGCACCTGCGTTCCCTTCACCGGGGTCTTAGTTATTGTTCTATTGCTGTGAAGAGACATCATGACCAAGGCAACCTATAAAAGAAAGCATTTAATTAGGGGATGCTTATAGTTTCAGAGGGTGAGTCCATGACCATTGTGGTGGAGAGCATGGTGGCAGGCAAGCAGCCATGGTGCTGGAGCAGTATCTGAGAGCTTACATCCTGATCTGTAAGTTGGAGGCAGACAGAGAGAGCCTGACCCTGGCATGGTCTTTTGAAACCTCGAAGCTCACCCCTAATGATACATCTCCTTCAACAAGGCCAAACCTCCTTCCAAAACATTTCCATCAACTAGGGACCAAACATTCAAATATATGAGCCTATGGAGGGCACTCTCATTCAAACCACCACAATGGGGCTCTTGAGGATGACCAAGAAGTGGACTCAAGGGTGCTATTTGCCCTCAGACCTGCTCTCCACTGTCCTGTGTCTGGTGTTCCATCTTAGGAAGCCAATTCTGTTAGCAGTCCCTAACCCATCAACATCCCTACCCAGGCCAGGCTACCACTGGGGATTATCCCGCAAAAAAAAAAAAATGATAGTAAGGGGATGTGTGAGCTGGGTACTGTATGCTAAGAGCTCTGTGCTCCTCTACTGGTCTCCCTCTCCAGCATAAATTGTCCCTTTGTCCAACAACTTTCCTATCATTTTCTTTGTGTTCCATTTGTTCATTGCTGGGACCCTGTGTAACAGAAAGTCCCTCTAGGTGGTACTTTTCCTATATGAAGCTGCTTTGTGCTCACCCCTGCATGAATGGGTATTTATAAGTTCTTTCTGGAAAAGACCATGAGCTCCACCAGGAGGCTCCACTCACTTTAGTGTCTTGTAATGAAGGCTTCAATTTGGTCCCTGGGTGGGTGGTCTCATATCAGAATCAATTTAGCTAGCTCCCACAGGGTTTCCTTCAAGCTTTAGCAGTGTTAGCTCTTGGCTGGTAAAACCCATCACTGCTGTATCAGCTCTCCCCAGATTCTAGCCCTCATGGTTCCTTTTACAGCTAACCTTCCATGGCAGATAATGGCTGACTTCTATCCTTTAGAAAGCCTGGATTAAGTGTGTATATGGCTCTTGCATTGCCACTGGGCACCCTACCAAGCCCGGTTTAGTTAAAGCAAACTTGACTTCTAGGGCTCAGTTCAAGACTCCAGACTCAAACCTTAGCACAAGACTAGATCTTCTTGGAAGGGATCATATAAAGGCTAAACTCAGTCTCCTTAGTTCTCTTTCACAAACTTCTGTGAAACTACAGGCAACAGCTTCAAAAGTCTGGTCTGAGGGTTGACCTTGCCCAGGCCAGCCACTTGTTACCTCAAGGCCTACAGGAACTCCTACAAGGCTCCAGGACCACTCTGGCTCCCAAGTCAAGTCATTCTCTGACTTAGGGTGGGAAGCAGGATTGGGATACTAGGTGGACTATTTCCTACTCCCCATAGATCCCTAGGTATCCCTCTTCTTGTTAGTATCCTGACTCAGTGCCTGAGCAACACCAATAGTCCCTCCAAATATAGAGCCCTAAGTGACTCCTCCATTCACTGTTCTTGTCTTTCTCTAGGTGGCAAAGCAACAGAAAGAATCTGAGTCCACCCAGAAGGCCGAGAGGGAGGTGACACGAATGGTGGTGGTGATGGTCTTTGCATATTGCCTCTGCTGGGGGCCCTATACTTTCTTTGCATGCTTTGCTACTGCCCACCCTGGCTATGCCTTCCACCCTCTTGTGGCCTCCATACCATCCTACTTTGCCAAAAGTGCTACTATCTACAACCCCATTATCTATGTCTTTATGAACCGGCAGGTAAGCAAGAACATGAGCAGATCAAATTCAAAATGGCCCATAACTCAGTGAAGGTTCTTACCTGGAATCAAGTCATCAATGAGAAAACTTTATGGAGAACCTGGGGGTGGGGTCTGATGATGCGCCTCCAAGAAAACAAGTGTGAGAAGGCTTTGCATGTGATCCACCCTCTCCAGACCTCCTCTTAACCATGAGCTCTGTTATCCTTGCACTGTCTCCACCTGGGTCTGGCACTTAAGAAAGTGCAGTGCACTGCAAGTTCTTCCCTTCTGATGACCCCACAACTATGGACAGGAATCTTCAAAGGGTGCTGTTATAATCCAGATGTACTAAGAACTCAGTGAGCACGCAATGACACTAGCTAGTTCTGTTCCTCTTGTGTTTACAGGTTCAACTCCAAATATTTCCATTTTCAAACCTTGACTTTGGGATTTTTGCCTCCTTATAAGTTTAACCTTTCTTAGCTATACTAGCTAAGAGTTCAAGAGCTTTTATGAGCTCATGAATTAGTTCAGAGAGAGCATGCTATGGCTTTGTCCAAAGTCTTGTCTGATGGCAACTATCCTTAGCTATCATATTGGACTTTGACACAAGTTGCTATGACTCTTAGACATCCTGGTAGGTTGTAGGTGAACCTTAAGAGGTTCATCACCTTCTGAGTGCCATTTGCTTTCCTCTTCCTTGAATCCATCATATGCACTTCATTAAGAGGTATCTACTGTATGAGTTATTAGTAATCAGAAGTGTTCACTGGGGCCTCTCATTTCATCAGACTCTGTGAGTCCTTCCAACTGACTCCTCTTTCCTCTATTGTCTTCCTTCCTCTGGTGCTTGGGATGGAACACAAGGTCTGGTGCATGCCAGGCAAGTGCCCCACCCCAGATCTCCTCTGCCAAAAACTGAAAACAGTTCTAGAAAGAGATCCTTGTGAAAGACAGGAAACAAAGGTGGCCAGGTGTGCAAATTTTACTTTCACTCATTCTGCTTTATTCCAAGAAAATTGGAACAGGGGATTCCATTCTTGTTCACTGCTATCTCCCTCCAGAATAGAGTCAGGAATGAAGTGAAAACTCAGTAAGTAGATGTTGAATGAATTTCTTGCCTTATCTGCCAGTTTTTCAGCCAAGTTCATGTTGTTATTTAGCCCATCTCTAATGCTGTCAATGTCAACACTTAAGTGTTTTCATTTGAGAGTTTTCATGTGAGAGGGAATGGAGATAGTCATAAATAGAGCTGAAATTAGTGACGCTTTTACTTTGGGTTCTCAAAGCTTTGTAGTTGAGCTCCTTAGATGGCATTGGTTTTGGTCACTGCCTAAGTATCCTGAGGGTACCACAATAAATTCCACAAGCTTTGTGGCTTAAAACAACACAACTGTAGTTCAGTGACAGAGTACTTGCCTAACATACACAAACCTTTAGGCTAAGTTCCTAGCTCAGCAACAAACAAGCAAACAAAACAAGAAAATAGGAATTAAGTTTCTCACAGTTCCAGAGGCCAGAAGTCTGAGGTCTAGGTGTCAGCATTCTTATTGTTCCTTCTGGAGGTGCTGAGACAGTGTCAGTCTCGTGTCTCTCTCCTAGCTTCCCTTGTCCTACTACTCACAAACATGCTGTCCCAATAGTATTCTTCACATAGTCATTTCTCTGGATGTTAAATATTATCTAAATCTTCCTCTTCTCACAAAAACACTGGTCACTGGACTAGTGACAATGCTAATCCAGTATGACCTCATCATAACACACATGTGCAAAGACTCCAGTTCCAAAAAAGGTACAGTCACAGGTTCCAGTAGTTAGGATTTGGCATTTTTTAGGAGCAGTCACAATTCAACTAGAATCACCATTAACCACTAAATTAGATGATTCAGACCTCCTCTATTCATATGTGTAAAGAATTAGCTGAGCCTTCCTCATCCCACTCATAGTATTCCAAATGGGAGAAGGGAAGGTGTACATCCACAATGTGACAGTACCAAATGTCTCAAGCCTCACCTTTAGCACAGTGCACTAGCCATTTCTGCTTTGCTGATTAATGTTTTCTGTTCTTCTAGTTTCGAAACTGCATCTTACAGCTCTTTGGAAAGAAAGTTGATGATATCTCTGAACTTTCCAGTACCTCCAAAACAGAAGTCTCGTCTGTCTCTTCGGTGTCACCTGCATGAGGTCCGCCTCCAACCTGTCCCATCCACCAAAGCTTTGGCCATGTCTTACCTCCTTCCTCCTCCATCATTATGAAATAAACATAATTTCCCCTTGCCCAATGAAAGTTCTAGAGATGACTACAACATTTTGGGGCTATCTAAGCTACTGGGTGTTCAGGCACTGGGCCTGGAAAGAGTACAATGTAGACAAAGAGACCAGAACATATGGTTTCTTTCGTTTTTAATCCAATCCCCATGTCTATAGATGTTATGAAAAGATCATGGAAAATTGGAAGGAGAAGGCAAGTTGGCATCTGCATATATCTCACTAGGCTGGTGGTTACAGAATTAAGAAAATGAGGACAACAAAGTAACTCTCTAGGGAAGGCTTACTGGATGCCCTCAACATCTGGAAAGACAAATTCAAGTGGTTGAGACTCCTTGTCCTTCAGTGTCCATCTAATAGAGGCTTAGCATCCTTGAAGTCTGGTCTCCACTTAAAGGGAACCCAGGCCTGCCAGTCCATGATGGAGATGATATGCCGCTTCTGCCAGGCCAAAATTCCAAGGCCAATCAACACAAATATAGTGAATGTGCGCAGGCGTGAGTTGAGCAGGGGCAAGGGGCAAGAACACAAGGTAGAGACCAAGACCAAGAGGATAGTGGTCAGTGTAAGAAGCAGGCTTATGAATCTGAACAAAAAGTCCTTGGGACGGGTTCTGATGCTGGCCATCATCTCCAGTTGGGTAGCTTGCTGTAGAGTTTCTAGCTTGGCTATTCTGCTCTTGAACGTCTCCATTACATCCTGTAGGTAACAAACACATATACTCACCAGATGTCATAACAGAAATGTGTTTATCTAATTTAGTAATTTATTTGCCTAGGGGTGTTCAAGAAATACTGTTGAAATAAAAAAGTTTTATTTATTTATTTATTTATTTATTTATTTATTTATTTATTTATTTATTTATTTATTTATTTATGTGTTTGTTTATTTGAGACAAGATTTCATTGTATAGTTCCAGCTGACCTGAAACTTGCTATGAAGACAAGGCTGTTCTCAAACTTAGAGATCTGCTTGCCTCTTCCTCCCAAGTCCTGGGATTAAAGGCCTGTGTCATCACACCTGATGAGTTCAATCTCTTAGGAGAGATAGGGAGAACTTCTAGGACATGCACAGTGGAGACAAGACAGTTGTTGTACAGTGCTGGGCTAATGGGTCCTGGTCCTTATCTACTGCTGAAACTGAGGACCTAGGTGGGAAAGGAATAATCAGGGACAGGAGTAGGAGCTTTGAGTGTGGCAAGGACTAAGGGGCAGGAAGGTAGACCCAAAGAAAGGGTTCCCAGAAGCTTTCCCTCTACTAGCAATGCAAACACTTCAGCATCCCTTGGGCTTGTCAGGCTTTACCCCTCCCTGGTCTGTAGCTCACAGACTCCAGTTTATGGCTCAATGATTGCCTTGACAGGATGAGAAGCACAGTCCAAAGTTCACAAAGCAGCTTGGTAAGGAGTGGAGCTTACACAGACATGCAAGGTAAACACTGTTGGTTCTAAAGCACCACCAGGTAGTCACAGCTACAAGATCTTCTCTTGCCTTGGCTTGGGAGCATACAGATAGATTCACTCATCACCCCCCACCCCCAGCCCTTTCTCCCTGAGGCCCTCACCCATATTTCCTTGGCTCTTTCATAGGACAAATAGGCCATTTTCTCTTCAGTGCATGCCAAATGCTGTTTGAGGTGGCAAATCTCATCCAGGTATCTCTGCAAGTGATCATTCACCTGTTCTTCCATCAGTGATTGTCTAGAAAGCAAGAAGGAAAGTAATATTCCATCTGTAGCTTACTCAGAGCTCATGCTAGCACCTTGCAGCTAGATTTACTACCCCCACCCCTACCACACCCCCCACTAGAATTTAGTCAATTTAGGCTGCCTCCTCTACCTCTGCTTGGGAATACTTACACTGATAGACATTATTTACAACTACTGTCTAGTAAAAGTCTTACCAAATGTGCCATAAGACTAAAAAGTGTAGAAAAAAAATTTTTTTTTTTTTGGTTTTTCGAGACAGGGTTTCTCTGTGTAGTTTTGGTTCCTGTCCTGGATCTCACTCTGTAGACCAGGCTGACCTCAAACTCACAGAGATCTGCCTGGCTCTGCCTCCTGAGTGCTGAGATCAAAAGGCATGCACCACCACTGCCCGGCAAAAAGAAAATTTATGTATGTATGTATGTATGTATGTATGTATGTATGTATGGTTTTTGAAGCTGAGGACTGAACCCAGGGCCTTGTGCTTGCTAGGCAAGCACTCTACCCAACCCATTTTTTTCTTTTCTTTTTTTCTTTTGGTTTTTCGAGATAGGTTTTCTCTGTGTAGCTTTGTGCCTTTCCTGGAACTCGCTTTGTAGTCCAGGCTGGCCTCGAACTCACAGAGATACGCCTGGCTCTGCCTCCCGAGTGCTGGGATTAAAGGTGTGTGCCACCACCGGCCCAAAAAGAAAATTTAAGCTATCTGTACATGCTATCAAATCCCCCAAACATTCCCAGGAGCAGTGTTAAGGTTGCAGTAGTTACTCCACAAATATATCTCCATTATAGAGCATGGAAAGTCACAAAAGACCACACTGAGTAAAATTCCATTTGTATGCAATGTCCATAAACACGAACAGATGAGTGGATGCCAGGGGCTGAGAATCGGGGTGACAAGGAGTGACTGCTAATAGGGTTTATTTTTTCAAGGATGATAAAAATGGAGATTAGACAGTGGTGTAACTAGCTGACTGGAATGGAGTAGAGGTCAAAGCCACTGGGGCCTGAGAGTCCAAATTGTCTAATGGGATTCTTGCCCTTTCAGCTCCATCTGGCTCTGAATAATGCCTCTGCCAGACTGTGCTACCTCTACTTACCCCATAAAGGGGTTCCATGTCAACTGGCAGCAGATAAATCAATTCAACCTTCTCCATTCTCTCTCCACCCTCATTATAGTCTTAAATGTTCCAATCATCAACTGGTGCCTACTGTGCTTTCTTTGAGAAATCCAGAGTTTCGTGAAGCAAAGCTAGCAACATCTTGAGGCAGTGTGAGGAAGAATGAGCTGCAGAACTTGGGTGACACATTCCCACTTGTAAAGGTCATATAAAGTAGGAGAAATCAGCAAAAGAACAAGAATAAAACCAAGGGATTCAAAGAAAGAACAGCATTTAAAAAGCAGGGCTGAAAGTGAGTAAAATTACACACAGCATCATCACAGTGAAACCTTTGAACACCAAAACAGAGCAAGTTCCAAGATAGTCAAGGCTACAAAGAGAAAGCCTATTTCTAAACAAAACCCTATAAACTCAAAAAAAGAGCCAGAGGAAAATAAAAATAATCATATTCAAAGCATCACCATCAAAACAGCAGCAGCTGGTGGACCAGCCTGGCTCTATCTTAAGATTAGAAGCCATCTTATTACAAGGTCAAAATAAGTTCATCCCTGTTTTCTGTAAAATTTAAGTTTGACCCTGTCTTGACCCATTTTCTGGAATTTGACATGTTCCACACCCTATACCCTGACCATACTCTGAATTCCTCCCTGGTAAGATGTTCTGCCGTATAATTTTGAGATGTTCTGACAAGTTCCTGTGACCAAAAACCTTTGGAAACTCCCTAGCCTTAAAGTTTTTGAACTTATAAGCCCCATTTCCTCCTATGTTCAATGCTATTCTCTTAACTGTTGCTTTAGGAAAGTAGCCCTAACAGAAAATAAAGGTTATTTAATTTGACCAAAAATTTTTGTCAATGGTCTTTACTCTCATTTAGTGGTATTAACACAGCCATTTCAACACAAATAAGAGAAGCCAGAATTGATTGTTTTCCAAATGCATAGTATTTCAAAGAAATAAATGCTAATCCAGAATTCTATGCCCAGCAAAGATATCCTTTAGAAATAAAATGACTCTTGCAGGTAAAGACAATTGCTACCAAGTCTGACCACCCAAGTTCAATTCCTCATGGTAGGACAGAAGTGATTCCTGAAAGTTTTCCTATGACTTCTACATACACCTATATACATACATAAACAAATAAATGTAACAACAACTATTAAAAGAAGAAAGAGAACCGAGCATGCACATTCATCATTCTTTGCCTCCTAACTGCAGGTGACTTTAAGCTCCTTCTGCCATGAGTTTCCCGAAATAATGAACTTTACCCTCAAACTGTGAGCTAAAATAAGATCTTTCTCCATTGAGTTTGTCAGGATTTTTTTGCTGTGGAATAATCCTTCTGTACACTATGAATATATATTGCTCTCAGGCCGGCTGGGCAGTGGTGGCACGCGCCTTAAATTCCAGCACTCGGGAGGCAGAAGCAGGCGGATCTCTGTGAGTTCAAGGCCAGCCTGGGCTACAGAGTGAGTTCCAGGACAAGCTCCAAAAGCCACATAGAGAAACCCTATCTCAAAAAAACAAAAATGAAAAACAACAAAAAAACAGACAGGCCAGTAGCTGGACAGGAAGTTAGGTGGGAAAGCCAAACTGAGAATGATGGGAAGAAGGAGGGCAGAGTCAGGAAAGATGCCAGCCAGCCGTCCAGTTTCAAGACATGCTAGAGGACAGGTAAAGCCACGAACCACATGGTAATACATAGATTTATAGAAATAGGTTAATTTTAGTGTAAGAGTTAGCTAGTAACAAGCCTGAGCTATCAGCTGAGCATTTATAATTCATATTCAGCCTCTAAGTCGGTTATTTGGGACTGGATGGTCAGGACAGGAAATGCGTGTTTACAATTTTTTTTAATCACCACAACAGAATAAGTAACTAGTAAATCAACCCCTTGGCAGCACTCCAGGATGAGGAAGCCAGACAATTCATGGAGAATGATTGTGGTTTATAGAGATCTAAAGAAAATAGTGCCCCTTACCCACACTGTTGTACTCTTCACTGCTATTTTTAACAAACAATTGGTTTAAGCGATGGGATGATCTTGATTAATCTGAGGACACACACAGAGGTGAAGGGAGAAAACTGAGTCCATAGAGCTGTCTTCTGAACTCCTCACATGTGCCCCCCCCCATTATACACAATATGACAGTAGTAAATAAAGTAAGAAAAACTCAAAATAAATCAAAGACCTTAATATAAGACCCAAAACCCAAAAACTGTTCAAAGAAAACATATAGAGGAGCGGAAGAAATGGCTCAATGGTTAAAAGTACTTGCTGCTTTTGCAGAGGACCTGGATTCTGTTCCCAGCATCCACAAGGCAACTCACAACTGTCCACAACTCTAGTTCCAGGGGATATACCCTCTTTTCTGGCCTCCACAGGTACCAGGCACACATTCAGTGTACTTATACACATGCAGGCAAAACATTCATACACATAAAATAAAAATAAGTAAATCTTTTTAAAAATATTCTGTCTCTGGCTGGCAAGACGCAGAAGCCTGAGCGTCCTACTTGAATGAAATGAAATCCAACAGAAGTGACAATTCTTCTACCCAACTCCATAAAGCCCCCCTTTCCAGTCATATCTCTCAGCACTGTACCCCTTCTGCCCACTCCCCAACCCGATCCCTCAAGTTCCCATGCCTACCCACCCCCAGTCCAACCAGGAAATCTCCTCTATTTCCCCTTCCCAGAGAAGGGGAGGTGCTTGGTCTTATGACAGCCTGACATGCCACACTTTGCTGAAGCCCATGGGAGGCCTGCCCCTTTCTGGGAGATTATGGAGGAGGGGTGGGGGCATGGAAGGGAGGAAGGAGGATGGAGTGGAAGGAGAGGAGAGAGGGGTTGCTGCAGTTGGGATGTAAAATAAATAATTAATAATAAAAATAAATAAATAAAAAGAAATGACAACTCTTTAGCCCTCTGACCAACATAGTCTGAGAACACAATAGAAGCCTAAGCAGATTCCTTGAGAAGTCAGCCCTATATTATATCACTGGGGCAAAGTGATCTTAGCGACTAAAAAGGCTCTCTTATACATAACTTTTGATTTCTGAACCTTGTCTCAAAGGAAATCATACCAGAATATTCCTGGGACAGAGGACTTAGAGATTGGAAGCTTCCAAAGTCCTGGAATGTAGAAGGAAAAGAAGCACAGAAACATAGAATATTCACTTCAGGACATTTTCACTCTGGTAGGAACTCATGTGCAAGATGGCCCATGAAAAATGTTCATGAGTGCCATCATCTGTGAATACAGCTAGGAATATAAAGCAAGAATGATGTTCTCAATACAGAAAATATGCTAAAATATGACAGAGAGCCAGAATCATGGGAGTAGTGTGGGCAATGTGATGCTGGTGGAGAGGAGACAGCATGAGGAATCCAGGAGAAATTGCCTGAAGGAAATAAGAAGGCAAGGTCAGGCCATCAGCCTGGCCAGCTCTTCATGCTGGGGTATTCTGCTGATTTTTCTACAATCTTGCAAGACCTTAGTTTGCAGAGAGAAAGCAGAGACTATTAATTCCAGTTTGTGAGCATTCACTTGGGGTCTGAACTCAAACATTGACCAAGTTGATTCTCACAACAAGCCCGACAGTGGAATTACCAAATTAATTCAATTTCACAGGCTTGGAAATGAGTATGAGTATTGCTATTTCATTTTTGACTAAAGCTCTTCAGCTCTAGCAGAGAGGATGCTAGGCCTGATCTAAATCCAGGATTCTCTCCTGAGTGATTGGGGATCTCAAATCACCTATCTGACAGGATTAGTATTTTTAAAAAAAAGATATAAAGAACTCTTATTAATGCAACAAAAGAAAGACAAAACTATACAGTCTGAAAACAAGCTAAAGACTTAAATAAAATTTGATGA